TTGAGCTGATTCCGACTTCAATTTTTCAAGTTACAGCCATTTTAAGAAATTGCCAAAATTCTGAAAGATACCCAAGGCTATATAGCCTATGGTTTTTTCCAAAAAATGGCTCTGAAATCGCCCAAAATGATGCTTAAAATGATTTGCCTTTTTCATATTCTAATCTACACACACACTCATAATGATACACGTGTACATATTTATAGATGGTGATAAAGATACAGCACTAACTAATGACATTCTTGAGGGACTAATAGAAGAAGAGGAGGAGGAGGAAAGAGGAGAGGGAGATGGAGAGGGAGAGGATGATGATGATAGTTGGATTACTCCTGATAATTATCAGTCAGTTTGTGATGGTATTGGTGGATTGATGGAGGAGACTATTGATGAGATATCTGTTGGTTGTATGACCACTGACTATGCTATGCAGGTAATATTCACTAGCAATTACTTTGGTTTATTAGAGGGGCTTACTCAATGCAGTATTATGAGCATACATGTACATGTACATTTGGTTGATGTATTCATGTATACATTTGGTGTAAAAATATTCATGTACATCACCTACGTCTGTAATGAATTTATATACTGTATAGCAGGAAATTTTGGAAAGAATTGATTTTGTGAATTTGGCATTTTGATGGTCATTTTATTATGACTACCATCTTTTTATCATTCTTCCTATGTGTACATGTACACTTGTATTTCTTTTCTCTTCCTTCCTCTATTCTTTTCCTCCTCTCTCTCTCCCCCCTCTCTCTCTCAGAATGTCCTATTACAGATTGGTCTTAATGTAGTCTCCATTGATGGAATGTTAATCAAGAGAATAAGAACCTACTCTCAACAATGCAAGGCCTGCTTCAAGTAAGCCAAGAAACGATACACAATTACACAAATAAACGTACAAGTACATGTACATATATTTATTCTATGCTTAGTGTATGTACATGTTTTTATACATGTACATGTACATATGAGACTGTATTTTAGAGTTGAATGTTTTCTTAATAGGAAAATCTCCACTTTATATATAAAGCACCCACCAACCAGTGTACTGGTATAATTAGTATTTTTGTTAAGAAGCAAACACAATTGTTATTACCGGTATTATTGTTGTTGTTATTATTGATAGGGTTTATTTTAAAAGTGGTCTGTTGTTTTGTCCTAACTGTGGCAACAAGTCAATGATTAAAGTGCTAGCTGATGTTGGTAAAGATGGCCTCACTCATTATTCATCACTCAGTGATAAACAGTTCAGCCATAAAGGACTCAGAGTAAGTCATTAATTAATATACATGTCAGGAAGCCACTGAATAATGAAACTTTAGGACAAAGTCTCTATGCTTATGCTATATAGTGTAGAGTCTTTGGCCCAATTTTTGGTCAACTTTAAAATTTCATAAAAAATTCAATTTTGATTGGAATCAGTTCAAACTTTCTACACAACATAAGATAATGTATATATATCAGTAAAAATTATAAAAAATGGAGAAACCTCTACTTTTCATTTTTGGTGAAATTTAGCCAAAGACGCTGTGCTAGAGTACAGGGACTTTGGCCCAATTTTGAAGCAAATTGAAAAATTTGTAGATAGTTCAATTTTGATCAAAATGAGTTTAAAATTTCTACGCAACATACATGTACTGTAAGTACATGTATATGCATCAGGAAAAATTACAAAGATGTGAAATTCTTTTCTTTCCATTTTTGGTGAAATTTGGCCTAAGTCTCTGTACTAAAGTCTTAAGAAAAAGTCTGTACTAAAGTCAGAAAGCTGAGCACTATAAGCCCTGGTACAGTATAGGGTCAATATTTACAGTACTATAGAATTTTTGTGTGTAGTGTAAAAATGGCATCAATAGCTAAAAGCCACCCAATTGCTACATGTACATGTACGTGTACATGTACATGTACTTGTAAATAATAATACAATAGCTACATAGAATAATATACAATATACATAATACAAGTTATAAGTATGAGTGTCTGAGTTAAAAATAGACAGATAAATAATAGAACATAATAGTATACAGTGTTTGTGTACATGTAGTTTAGTAAACCCTCCCATCTGAGAGAGCTTGCTCATGAGATCGGAAGGAGTGACAGGGATGATGGTAGGATGAGCGAGCACCTCTGAGACACATAATGGAGCTCCTTAAAAGAGAAAATGAAAGGCGGCATCGAATCCAGTTAAGAATCTTTGAATAGCTTTTGGAGTAGCGGATTGACAGCCTTGATGACAAGTATTTATAGAAAGTATTTATCGTACTTGTAAATACTGTTAAAATTATTACCATAATAGTGCCATATGTTATAGAGTATGTTGTGTTCGTGTGTTTGATTAACAAGTTCATTGATTAATGTCTACTTGATGATTGAATGATG